CTGGCCACCCACCCGATGAAGTCGCAGCATTTGACGAATGTGGCCTCGACGTGTGGCTCGGCGATGGGGTGCGATGGCGAGTCGTCAGAGGGCGCGGGGCCGCGCCTGGCGTCCGTCAGCCGCGTGAAGGCCGCCTTGGCTGCCTCGATGAATCCCTGCAGCTGCAGAATGACAGAATGACACGGTCAGCACACCACCACATGTGTGTAGAAGGTGGGCTAGGCTGCATGCTAGACCCACACGCATAGCATACGTCTTGGTGTGAGGGCTCGATGGCTTTGATGCGGTCAGCGAACTCTGTCAGCATGGAGAACAGCTTCGTCAAATGAGTCGGCTGCAACCGCCCATCCACACACACACACACAGAGGGAGAGAGAGAGAGAGGGTGGTCGATGTCTGAATGGTCATGCTGCATTCTTGCCCACCGATTGCAGTGTGGCGATGAGCTGCAGCAGTCCCTTCACGAGGGCGGAGTTCATCTGCCGGGAGGCCTCCACTCTCAACGGGTGCGCACCCAACTGGGAGGTGCCGACGGTAGTAGCCACCGATGGAACACCTGCTCACCCACCGCCCGCACACACACGAGCACACCAGAGAGGCGTGTGGGGGTGGGGTGTTTGGTGTGCCGTGACCACCACACCTGCTGTAGGTTGCGGCGCCGAGGCTGCTGGCTGTGGCACAGCCGATATGCGCAGCCAATCACGGCGAAGCTGCTGCCTGTCGACACCACACCACACCACACCACACGGCACAACACGAATCTCTCTCTTGCCCCTCTCACTGTGTGTGTGTGGGTGGGTGGGTGGGTGTTTGTGTGTCTTGACCTGAATTCTTCAGCATTTCTGACGTTTTTGAAGAAGCTGTGTAGGGTCTTGACGGCGTCGAGGTGCACCGGGTCGAGGTAGCTGTCGGCCGTGGGGGTGAAGGACGACAGGAAGTGCGACACCACCTCGTCAACCTGCGAGCACAGCACATACAGGACCATCAACCAACCAACCACACACACGCTCAGGTGAACATCCACCCAACAGCAGTTAGTTCGGTTCGCGGGCTGTGAACGTCACTCACCTGCAGGAAGGTCAGGTGGCTGGTGCGCTTGGCGAACACCTCGATCCTGAGTGGCAATCACAATGACACACACCACACAGGAAGTGACAGATAGATATACACACACACACACACACACACTGAGGAAGAGGAGCTTTGATTGTGATCGCGCTTACTTGTTGGATATGATGAAGTTTATACGGTAGTATCGCCTGACCACAAACGCATCCACCAACCACACATTACACTGACTCTCTCTCTTCCCCCCCCTCTCTCTCCATGTGGTTGGTTACCCGCCCAATGTGTCTCCGAAAAGTTCTGACAGCTGCGCGAGGGCCTGCCTCTGTGTCTGCGGCTGTGAGGCGTCGTCCGTGTCAAGCCAGCGACACATACGGCGGATGTTCTCGACCTGCACGCACACGCACAGGCAGAGAGGGAGGTAGAGCGATCAGAGATGCACACTGCGTGCGGCACTCTCCCTCTATGTCAATTTAAGCGGAGCACCTGCCGCTGCACAGACTGATGACGCACACCCGTGGCACGCACTGAGCGACGGGCAGAGGCAGTGTGACACGCAGAGGAGGGAGGAGATTGTGCGGTGCCTGACTGATGCACACTGGCTTGGGTGCTTTGAGGGCATAGGTACCGATCTGGAGTATGGCCTTTTGTTTGATGCTGAGAGGCTTGCTGGTCTTGAGGACCTCGCGAACCACAGGGGGATCCAGCGAGTAGAATCTGACCAACACACGCAAAGGCACACGCACACGCCCATGAGCAGCGACTTCCCTGTGTGCGGTCGCTGTCTGTCTGTCTGTCAGTGTGTGGTCGGTGCCACCCCACTTACTTTCTGAGTATGGTTCGTCTCTCGGACGCCCTGATCTGCAGCGTGGAGAAGCTGAGGAAGCTCTGCGGGCTGTACAGCTGCAGCTCCAGCAGCTCAAACACATGATACAAATGCGCCTGCAGAACACACACAATGATTGCATTGGACAGGCACACACACACACACACACACAATGACCCTTCTTCACTCTCTCTCCCACACGCACACACACGCTTCCATGCTCACCGTGTCGAGCTTGATGAGCGACAGCAGGTTCCCAAAGTGGTAGGCATCGAACGTGGAGTGCGGCGCTGTGCCCACACCCACGCCACCCATCAAGTCGCTGCCCTCGATGCCGAACGCCTTCCTCCGCTCGCCAAGCGCCTCGTCAATGGACAGGCCGTGCAGCCAGTAGTCGAACACGGCACCGTCGAACCAGAAGGGGTCCTGCGCCACCACAAACACGTCGCGGAATGCCATTCGCGCTTACTACAGGAGCTGCATCTTCGGCAATTTCCCTCAGATCTCTTCTCTGAGGTCACAAATAAGGCGGCCTGAAGCCGAGAAGGCTCAGATCAGTCGCCAACACATCGGTTCGATCCCAGTCAACCAACGAACAGCTCGCGCTCGCAAGGAAGCTGCTGCTGTTGGAAGAAGGCACCGGAGAGGGAAACACAGTTGCCGGAAGTCTGCGAAGGCGGAGATCATCTTTGACGAGATCTTGTGCACAACTATGGTTGCTGTTGAATGGCGTGGTTTGGGTGGGTGGCGGCGATGAGCAGCTTCTGGGCTGCTACTGTCGGCAGAGGGCTCGCGGATGCTAGATCTGCTAGATCCCAGCTGACGGCGGCTCCACAATCGGCCAGATGGTCGTCGAGAGAAGTGCGCAGGGCAGCGGCAACGAGGCCAGGCTTCTATCCTGCTTACCTCAGCCTCTATTACAACGGTGAGCATCCGCATGACGCATGGTTGTGGGGGGATTGGCTGTCTGTTTGTGCAATGAGGGCGATGCGATGCAATGCGATGCAGATCTGTTCGAAGTGACGCTGCCGCCCGACCACAAGTTCCCGATGGTAAGCCCGACCCGACACACCACCACGAAGTCAGACGGAGTCAGTCATCTTTACGAAGGATAGATAATACGATGGATGCACCCACCTCTTCGTGAATCGATGAATGCATTCACCGATTCCCGCTGGTCCCGCCAGGCGGACTATCTGTATGCGTGTGTGCACTCTCAGGCCAAGTACCGAGAGGTACGGCTTAGGCTGCAGCGCCTCCTCGGACGCACCACCAACACCAACACCGACAGCCGAGACCAGGGCAATGCCGTATGGGCCTCCTTCGCCCCTTCCCCTCTGGCCTCCATCGAGGACCTCCACACCACTCACTGCCCGTCGTACGTGCGGGCCTTCTGTGAGGGGTCGCTGGACCCCATGCAGTACCGCCGCATTGGCTTCCCGAGGGGCCATGAGTCCGTCAACAGGGCGCTAAGTTCCGTTGGAGGGACGGTGGCCGCCACACGCGACGTCTGTCTGGCGCTGAGGCGGCAAAGGAAGGGGCAGGAGCCAACCAGACCGCTGTTTGCCGGACACATCGCAGGTAGGTGAGCAGAAGAGAGATGCACCGACCCGACAGGCATCCGTAAACTGGATTATGCGTGTCTGCCTGCGTGTGTGTCAGGTGGCACGCATCACGCCTTCCGTGACCGTGGGGAGGGCTTCTGCGCCTTTTCTGACATTGCGGTGGCCGCCAACGTGGCGCTGCGAGACTATGCAGACGTCATTGAGCGCATCTTGATCGTGGACCTGGACGTGCATCAGGGCAACGGCAATGCCGTGCTGTTCCAGGACCAGAGCAATGTGTTCACGCTGTCGGTGCACTGCACGGCCAACTACTTCTCTCCCAAAGAAGCAAGCCACGTGGACATTGAAGTGCCGGAGGGTGCAGAGAAGCATGCCTGTGCCTTTGTGGCCCACACATGCATTCGATTCGTTGGTGTGTGTTTCATTCAGGTACTGGTGACGGTGCGTATCTGTCTCTGCTGGCCAAGACCCTCCCCGACATCGTGCGGGAGTTCAGACCCGATCTGATCTTCTACCAGGTCAGTCAGTAAAAGAGTGAGTGATGGCAAGAGAATCCATGTGTGCATGTTTGTGTGGATGCAATCATGTTCCCTCCCATCCATCAGTCGGGTGTGGACTGTCTCAAAACCGACCGGTTTGGCAAACTCAGCCTTTCTCGAGGAGGCCTGCAGACCCGCAACCGCCTCGTTTACGAGATGGCCATGACAGACAAACACACACCAGTGCCCGTGGTAAGGACACACACGCACATATACACGGAGAGAGAGAGAGAGAGAGACACTCTTGCACGAGACACACATGCCATCCGAGTGGATGAGTGTGTGCAGGTGGTGACGATGGGCGGTGGGTATCCGCGAGACCTTGAGGTTGAGTCGCGGAGCTACCAGGAGGTGGTCAGCGCCCATGCCGATGTCTACGTGGGGGCCGCCATCGCCAGCAGGCGGCTGAGCAGGCTCATGGAGAGAGAGACACAGCTGGCCTAAACCTAGGCTGCGTGCGCGTCTGTTTTGTCGATAACTAACGCTGTGATCATGATGGGTCGGTCGGTGGGTCAGTCAGTCGGACAGATGATTAGCTAGGATGTGATTTGATGTGATGTGATGTATAGCCTTCTGGTTGGTATGCATGCTGGGTACGGTCGGTACACAAGTGCGTGTACAGGTGCATGCGGTTGATGTGGCACGTGCGGTCTGTGGATTGTCATCTGACGCTAAGCCGTAGATCAGACATATGATTCTGACTCAAGGCTAATTGATATTTTCATCACAGCTGGAGTGTTAAGTATGGCAGTAAGGCAGTCTTTGTCTCGTTCAGGGCTTCGACGAAGGCAGGGAGACAGGCAGGCAGTCAGGTACATTACGGCTAACACGACAGCAGCTCTCCCCCTCTCTCCCTCCCTCGCCCGCCGCTGTACAAGTTGCAAATTCACACACGTGCAATTGCATGTAGGTGCCTCTGAGAGCAAGTAACGCGTAACAAATACTGAGGTAGGGTAGGTAGAAGTACATGTGCCAACTGACTTCACTGACTGGCGCGTGCATCGCGTGCAGCTACATATATGGATAGTGAACACACACAGGCATTGCATTCCATTCCATTCCAATCCAATGCAATCATTCATCGCCACACGGCATGCACCCAGCCAGCGCCAGCCAGTCGTTCTCCGTCGCCATTCGCTCACCCAAGTGTCTGGGCGTGTGCGTGTCATCTCTCTAGTCTGCGGGCTCGTCTCTAGGTGACGTAGGTACGCCCCCGACGCGTCCACACCGGGGAGAGGTGACCCACGCAACACATCTCGACACGCAGCGAACACCACATAACTAACGTACAGATCGCCGCCCCTGCCTGCCAGTCGGCACCCGTCCATCTGACGTACGAACGTACTCGTCCAGCATGCCAAACCACCCCCCAGCAGGCTGGCATAGAATCCAGTCAGTCAAAGATGCTCATGACGGGCGCCCAACCATCCATCCATCCATCCATCCGTTTAAACTAGCTCACGCCCCATCCCCACCAGCGGGGGCATGCATGCCGTTCACGCACCCACCCACCCCACACACACACCTTCCCTTGCCCTTGTTGTGTCCCCCTCCCTCCCTCCCTCCCTCCCTCTCCTTTGTCGGTCGGTCGGTCAGCTACTGAGCAGCCACGGGAAGGCCTTGACGGCCTGAGGGTCGCGCTCGTTGTAGTCGACCAGGAGCTCATCGCCCTTGTCGACGTCCTGGCGGCACACGAAGCACAGCCGGGGCTTGGGGGGCGACTGGTTGGTGTCCAGGTAGGCCCGGCCCACCAGATTGGGGGTGATCGAGTGGTTCACCAGCCGCCCCGGCCCCCACGCTGCCGCCATGCTGTCGTCGGTCGCGTCGACGCACCAGCGGCTGTTGTTGAGGCTGAACGTGAAGATGTAGCACCCCTTGCCCATCTGAGCGTACTGCTGCTCTCTCTCCTTGGCCGTGGCCTCCGTCACCAGCTCCCCCTCGTACTCACAGACGTACTCGCCCTTCTCCAGGTCCTTGCCCGCCAGTACACACAGGCCGGCGTCGCCCGACGAGACGATCTTGACGGGCGCACGGTAGCCCCGCGACAAACACGCCTGGTAGACAGCCCCGCGTGCGTTGGACATGAGGCTCTTGACGCCGCACCGGGGGGTGCCGTCAGCCTCCAGGTGGTCGTCCAGCAGCCGATCGAGCGCCTCCGTGTCCGACGAGAAGCGCTGTGACGTGGGCACGCGCCGCTCGCGGCCGTCGGCCGTGAAGCGCTTGGATGGGCTTCTGCGTCTGGGGCGGGAGCCGGCGTCGAGGGCCATGCACATCTTGCGCTGGTCCTCCTTGGCCTGGGCAAACAGCTTGTCCAGCTTGCGGGCCAGCGCGTCATCGGATGCGGCAGGCTTCTTGGCGGCCTTCTTGTGGATGGGCGGGCCAGGAACGATCCCATCCTCCTTGTTGACCTTCTTGATGACACCCGGGGGCGTCTTCTTCTTGATGCGCCGACTGGCCGGGGCCGGTGGCTTTGCTCTGACGCGTTTGCCGGCCGCTCGCTTGGTCTTGCGGCGAGGCTCGAGCGTGAGCAGGTCGTCAAACTCGCCCATCATGTCGAGTGCATCCTCCAAACCCGGGGGCCCCTCCCACTCCATACTCGTTGCTTTGCCACGTGTCCGGCGTGACTCCGCCTCAGTTGCTGGCTTCTTGGCCTTGGTCTTGGGAGCGCTGTAGCCCTCGAACGAGAAGATGTGGTCGTTGCAGAAGCGAGAAGGGAGTTTCTGCTCACGTCGGGGGCGGGCGACTGGTGTTTGCTTGACTGACCCCTCTCGCCCTCTCTTGCGGTGTGTCGAGTGCATCGGCTCTTCAACACAAAGCTGCAGACAAAACAGGGATACCATCGAATGAATGAATGAATGTGTGTGTTCTGCTCGTACTGGGAGAAACCCCTCACCGTGGGTGCACTCACCTGGTGAAGCCCTCCTCCGTTGCTTTCGCCCTGTGACAGCGGACTGTCATCTGAAGCGCCCAGAAGGAAGGACACAGGAAGCAACAAATTGCCTCATGAATGTGACTAGTCTTCAAGTAGAACCCGGCGCTCGACAGTGCTTCCCCTCACCTGGGTTCGTTCTGGTGCTCTCAGTCATCGCCTTTCTCTCCCTCATTCTCATTTTTGATTTCCTCTCTTTTCCTCTTTATTCCTCGGCTCGCACTCGGGGTGAACCTCTACCCGGGCACCCCCCCTCAGGGCGGACGACGACAGAACGGCTCCTCACTATTTTGTCAGGCTGGAAGAAATATTTGGAGATCTTTGAGATGCGCTCATTCTTGAATTGCGTCTTATTTCATCACCCGCATGTCGAGGGCGGCTCTATAATTGCATCCCTCTCTGGTACAACCCTCAACCGCAGTGCTGCGGTTGACGGCCGTTGGCGCAGTAAAAGATCTGACACGAATATGTCCCAAACACACAAGGTGGCGTGATGACGAAGCGTGCCCGCACAGAGGGCGCGTCATCAGCTGCTTCGGCGGCCTCACTCTCCCCCTCCCTCTTCCTCAAGGTGCTTGATGAGGCGGGCAGTGCGGTGGCGGACTTCACGACTGCAGCGGACCTGTCTGCCCTCCGCCTGACCTCCCGCGTGGCCACACAGCAGCTCACCGACAACTACCTCGTCCAGCGCATCAACCGGTGCATCACCGACCAGCAGATAGGTGGCGTGCTGACCTTCGACGCCAGCTACCAGCCGGGCGATGGTGAGGCCATGCCGCGGATGGCCTACTTGATGCAGCTGCTGTGCGTGTTGGAGGATGGCGGGCAGTGGGGTCTGTGGATGGGCCCTCTGCGCATCGCCCGACACGGACGGCTGGTCGAGTCGCTGCCCATCACTGTGAGGCCGGCGGACGTGCGGCGTGTGGGGTCCAAGGCGGTGTTTGACGGCCGGGCGGACAGCCTCAAGCAGTACAGCCTCTTCGGCCACCTGCTGGGGCAAGATGGGGTGGTGGCCCTCAGACAGATCGACGGCATCGAGCAGCTGGGCGAGGAGGTGGTGACCGTCTACACACAGCAGACCCTCCCCGCCGGCCACGAGTTCGCCACTTCGTTCGACCCGACGGACCCCATCGTCAGAGGTGAGAGCGAGAGGGACGATACACATGGCCGATCAGAAGAGCTCATGTGTGGGCGATGACGGGTGCAATTGTGTCCGTGTGTGTTGCCATCAGTCAACAACGAGGTGGATCACATGAGTTTCAGACAGCTGGTCGTCAAGCGGTAAGGCGACACCAGCCATGGAGCCACTTCTCCACCTTGTGGACGATCTGTGTGTGTCTGCCTAGTTTTCCGTCCGAGGAGCAGCGGATGTGTCATCGCTTCATCTCCAACAGGGGAGCACAGGCTCAGACACAGCGAGCTGCCGAACTGCTGACCCAAGTAGGTTAATGGCGTGGCTCGACAGATGGCTATCTCCGTTAACGCACCTCCTTGTGTTGCAGGCCGCCATCCCCTGGGGTCGCCAGACGAGGCTGCTCAGCATCGACGACGACGGCCGGCGGAGCGGCTCCATCTACCTCTGTGGAGAGGGCCAGAGCGACACCTTCGCCGCCCGCATCATGATAACGCGCTTCGCCCACTATTCCACGATCGACCTCTACACCACAGAGACGCCGCAGCCCGATCAGGAGGGCCCCTTCCGCTTCCCCCAGACCCTCCAGCTGGCCCGCCAGCTGCTGGGCAACGACGACGAGGACACACTCTTCGGGGACCTGACGATAGAATTCGTACCCTTCGGCCGTTTCACGGCGAGGAAGTCCACTGTCACCCGATTCCCCTCGTGTGACGGTGAGTTGGGAGGGGGCGAGTTGGGGACGGGTGGGTCAGTGGGTGGCGGTGGACCTCAGAGTTAGAAGGGTCAGGCGGTGGGAATTGCTTTGATGGCTGAGTACACCGTGCAGTCATGAATAGGTTAACTGCATGAGGCAGGCCTTCTGCTCTTCACATCTATGTATGTCTCTCATGTCGATGGCTGTGCCGCCGTGTGGTCATGGAAGTAATTCGAGTGCTCATGTCGTGTGTGTTTGCACAGAGTGGACGCGCAAATCTTTTGACGCCATACAAATGATGTCTGCTTACAATGAATGGATGGCGCATGAAGGTTTTGAGTGGGTTCGGATACCACCCGTCATGCAGGCAAGCTATAGACACCCACACACACACACACGGGTGCCCATCCGTCCATCCATCCATCCACAAAGTCGGCACGGCCATCTGGACGCTACGCCACCCATGTGCGTGCGTATGTCACCATCCACGTGTGTCGCTATCGACAACGCTCGGGATTAGTGCCGTCTCTCGGCCACACGGAGGCGGACGCTCCTAGCTCTGCAAGCGCAGAGACCCACCATTTTGTTCAGGTGTGGTGCTGTACGTCGATTGCGTCCATTGTGCGCCGCGCCCACCTGGGGTTGAGCGATATCTCCTGCTCACTTGCCTTGATGGCCTTCTGATGTGACCGACAGCACCAGTCAGTCACACACTCACACATATAGATGGAGGGATGGACGTGTGTGTATGTGTCGTGCTGCCTACCGACCGTCAGTGGCTTCCATGGCGATTCAGCAACTCCCGCAGCATCGTCGTCAGCCTGATGCACACAGCCAGGCAACAGCACGCACAGAGCGGTGTGGTGCTTGCTTGATCTCTTATAAAGTACGTCGAGGGCGCCGGTGCGCATGACACGCTTCACTCGCCGATCCTCCAGCGAATGATACGCCAGCACCTGGACGGTCGCACAGGCAGAGCAGCCGTCAAGCTGGTCTCTCTCTCTCTCTCTCTCTCCCACCGCTAGCCGCCCACGAGGCCTCATCAGCGCCGCTGCCGCCATGAGGACGTCCTCCAGCACACGCAGCTCTCTATTGACAGCTATCCGCAGACCCTACACAATACACACACACACACACACCAAGAAGGCCGCTGCAGATGAGAAGGCATGTGGCCTACCTGGAAGACCCGCGAAAGGGTTTTCTTCTGGTCTGCTGGCACTGGGGAGCAGCACCTGAGCACGACGCTCGTGAGGTCGCTGGTGCTCTCGATAGGGCCGTGCTGCTGGCGGTGCTGCATCCGCCCACCAGCCACCGACAGATAGATACGCACTCAAAGGGATGCGGGACAGATAAGCAGACAGACAGACAGACCTGGACGATCCTTGACGCGATCTTCGCTGCCCTCGGGTCTTCGCCGAAGTCCCGGATGACGTCCTCGATAAGCCCCTCAGACCACTCATTCACAATCTGCAGCACACACATAAAAAGACAGAGGTGACCCGTTCGTCCATCCATCCATCCATCCATCCACCGGTGTGGCTGCCTACGTGCCATGCCGACAGCCCGCTCTCGTCGCTTGGTTCGGTCTCCCCTGCGCCCCTCCTGTCCATGCGCATGTCCAGCAGGCCCTCCCTGCCCCAGCTGAACCCCCGATCGCCGTCGTCCAGCTGATGAGACGACACTCCCAAATCCAACAACAATCTGCACACGCCAAAGACACACAGACAGAGAGGGGGGAGAGAGAGCGAGGCAATCAACCATGACTGACATGTCCGTGTGAGCGGCCGCCGTGCTCTTCTTATCCTACCCGCTGATCAACGGTGGTGGGCCGGCATCGCTGTGGGATCTGAGGAAGTGTCGCACATTGTCAGAGTCAAGGATGGCCGGCAGGTCGCCGAAGTTGCCCTGCACGGGCAGAAACCTGCCACTCTCAACATCATCCGACAGTCTTTGCGACGAAAACTGAAGACGACAGCCATGGCATGGAGGCGGGGAGGATGGTACACACACAGGCTCGTGCGTCACATCATCGGCCCAGCCAGCCACTTAGCTAACCTCAATCGCAGCTGGGTCCTGGTCTATGCCAATGAGGCGGCCGCCTGCCGTGAGCCGAGAGAGGATGGCCGCACTGTGCCCGCCACCGCCCATCGTGCCGTCGACGTACACACCATCTGAGTCCCACACCAAGAGATCAACCGTCTGCAGAACAACAGACAGCAAGATACACGCGAACAGACAGACACACGGTCATGTGACGACCGTCAGTCACATCAACGTGAAGTGCACTTGATCTTCCTCACCTCATTGCAGAGCACCGGTGTGTGGTACTCAGACGAAAACGGCAGCTCGTCAATGCCATCGCCTCTCCGAGTCCGCGGTTTCTTCGGCTCAGATCTCCTCACACGAGCCTTCTTGGCTGCATTCAGCCGTGAGTGCGGCGTCCTCTCCATCCTCGAGACCAGCGGATGATGCATCGCAAAGGACAGGGCTGTCGATGAATCGAGATCAACACAATGGGCTGACAGCGTAACCACACACACGATGAGTGACAACGCAAGGCCCATGCCACTCCTTTCTTCTCCCCCGCGCGCGCCTGCCTGTGCGAGCTTTTCCAGAGATCTGCAACGTCCCGTTTCCAAAGGCGTCCAGGCAGTGTCCTTCGTTCTGCAGAATGAAGCTAAGCAGTTTCATCTTGACGCCCATCGGCATCGGCCCTTTGCTGGGCCTCATCGCCGCCCTGTGGACATCACTGATGGACCTTGTCCGCACCGAAGGCCTCGACAGGATGCGCCGCTCCCCGTTCCAGGCAGCGGCCAACGCAGCTTTCGTCGACTCACTGCCTCTCCTGCGCAATGCGCGAAGGCGGCCGCTCTCCAGTGCATCGTCGTCTCTGCGAATGACAGCTGACAGGGCCAACAAGAAGAAGGTTGTCGTGACGGGTCTCGGTGTGCTGAATGGCGTGGGAGTGGGTGTGGACCCTTTCTGGTCGAACCTTGTGGCGGGCAAGAGCGGCATCGACAAGGTCACGAGGTTCGACCCTGAAGGCATGACCTGCCAGGTGGGTGGGTGAGGAAACCACACACACACACACACACACACACGCACACACATACACGGCGTCATGCATTCCGATCCATGTGTGACGTGACAGGTGGGTTGCGAGATTCTGCCCGGCATGTTTGAGCCGAAGGACTATTTCAAAGATGCCAAGGAGGTCAAGCGTAACGACCGGTTTGTGCACTACGCCATGGCGGCGACCAAGATGGCTGTCGAGGGGGCGGGGCTCAACCCCAATGGGCTGGAGGGAGTCGACAAGTCACGTGTGGGCGTCCTCGTGGGATCTGGTACGGTGGCCACACACACATCTGGTGATGCATGTGTGTGTGTCAACGTGTGTTGCCTGCCAGGTATTGGCGGCATTGAGACCCTTGAGCAGCAGAAGGACAATTTCATGACCAAGGGTCACAAGAAGGTGTCGCCCTTCACCATCCCAGCAATGATTCTCAACACCGCCAGCGGCCTCATCGCCATCGAAATCGGCGCGGGCGGGCCAAACTACGGCATCGCATCTGCTTGCGCAACCGGTGGACTAGTGGCACACGCACCCACACCCTCACACCCACTGCTTGGATGTCTGTGTGTGTGTGTGTGTGTGTGCAGGTGCTCATGCGATAGGTGACGCAATGCGGTATATTCAGAATGACGAGGCGGACATCATGATCTGTGGCGGCGCCGAGGCGTCCATCACGCCGCTGTCCTTCGCGGGCTTCAACAACATGAAGGCCATGGCCAACGGCTGGAACGACCAGCCAAAGGCCGCATCGAGGCCATTCGACGCCAAGAGGTCATGTGTGTAACCACAATCATGCATCATACAAGCCCGTGTGTGTGTGCGCGCTCGTGTGTGGAAGGTGTGTGTGTGTGTGTGTGTGCAGGTCAGGCTTTGTGATGGGTGAGGGTGCTGGTGTGATAGTCATAGAGAGTGAGGAGAGCGCCATCAAGAGGGGGGCGCCGATCATCTGCGAGCTGGCGGGCTACTGCGCCAACGACGACGCCTACCACATCACCGCACCTCATCCAGAGGGAGAGGGTGAGAACCTTTCTCTACCTGCTGGCATCCATGTCTGTGTAAGTGTGTGTGTGTGTGTATGCAGGTCTTGCGAGGTGTCTGGAGCAGTGTCTGGCCGACGGTGGTGTGGAGGACAAGAGCCAAGTGGGCTACATCAACGCACACGGCACCTCCACACCTTACAACGACAAATTCGAGACCCTCGCTTACAAGAGAGTATTCGGTATGTCTGTCTCCCCACCCAACATACAGCTGTGCGGTCTCATGTGTGTCATTCGTTTCGCCTGCCGTGTGTTGTGTGCCATCAGGGGAGGAGGGCGCCAAGAAGCTGCTGGTATCGTCGACCAAATCAATGACGGGCCACACACTGGGGGCGGCGGGCGGCATCGAGGCGGTGGTGGCCATCAAGGCGCTCGAGACTAACCAGGTGCCGCCGACCATCAACTACGAGAACCCGGGTACACACACACAGTGACTGACAGAGAGAGAAGGAAGGAGACACCTGCGTGTCTTGGCTTACACGAGTTGTCTCTCTCTCTCTCTCTCTGTGTGTGTGTGTGTGTGGTGCCTGTGTTGTGTGTGTGTGTGTGTGTGTGTTAGATCCCGACTGCGACCTGAATTACGTGCCCAACAAGGCGGTTGAGGTGAGCGAGCCCCTCGAGTACGCGATGAGCGACAACCTGGGCTTTGGCGGACACAACGCCGCCGTGCTCTTCAAAAGGTACAGATGAACGTGTGGAGGGAGGGGGGATGGAGGCAGAGAGAGAGAGAGGAAGGGCTGTTTTGCGGCGACAGTGATGTCGGCCCGCCATATATTCACATGGGAGATGGGGAGAGGGTGTGGTGTGTGTAGCCAGCCAATGGTCCGTTCGGTCCTTGGGTGCGATGCGATGCATGTGTGGGGGTGCGTGGCGTGGCGTGGCCTGGGCGGGGTGAGATTTTTCCTTCCTACCTTGATGGATGCTGCTGAACGTCATGTCTCATGTCCTCATGTGCGACGTCTGTCTGATTCCTGCCTCCCTCCCTCTCTGGTGGTCAGCTACAGAGTGGACAGATGCGTAGCTTGGTGGAGGGGCTGCTGTAGCACTCAGTGCCTGCCTGTTATAGACTGCAGCAATGGGTCCACACGCACACACACACAGGGGGACTTTCTGTATAGTTGTCATCACATACATGGTGTTTCCACCGCCCCCCGTTCCCCAGACCCCAGACGAGGAGGGGGACAGTTTTGCTGCATCCGTGGTGCGTGTGTTTCCATCCATCCATCCATCCACGCGTTAGCGGAATGGCTTGATGGCTTGTGTCGTATGCCGTTTCGTTGCCTCTACACCGATCCGATTGACATTTTATGACATAAGACATCTTGGTGTGTGTGGTGTGTGTGGTGTGTGGTGGTGGTGAGATGTGTGTTTGAATCTGGCCGTGAAGCCAAGCCATCGAGCTGTCTGTCATTCGTCAATGGTCTATGCAGCCCACCTCCCCACCCCCCCAAGCCCATCTGCACACCAGCCAGCAGCAGCACAGATGACACTAAAGCTACTCATACGTCCGTCACGTCTGCCAAAAGTCAGCAGCAGTGAGCTAGCTACCTGGGCGGCACGCTGCTTGCCGGTGGGCAAGGCATGCAGGCCTTCCTGCACACAGCCTATCTAGCCTGCCAGCCGCCTGTACGCGGCACGGCACGCACCCGGCCGTCGGTCTGTCTGTCTGTCTGACTCTCTGACTCTCTGGGAAGCCATCCTACGATCTATCCTATCTAGGTGAATCGGTCTGACTTGCCGCTGGTATCCCACTCACTGGCCGGGCACCTCCATCTAGATCTCCAGGCCAATCCACCGTCAACTCGTTTGTCGCTCTTCTTGCCTCACCAAATCTACACGAGGCTTCTCTGTCTACGTCTACGATTGCTACCTGTGCCGCGCCAAAAGACAATGCCCCCCTCCCCTCCCGCCTCTGTGTGTGTGCTGTGGTGGGTCATTGGAATCGCGGGCGCTTCGCATCCTTGTCGCCGCCATGCGGTGGTGTGTTGGGGGTGTGCGAGTCGCTGATGGGCGAGGGCGCTTGTGAGGTGTCCAGCGCGCGCTTGTTGCTGTCATTGGTGCTCCGCGCGTGGCTGGAGGTGTCCATGGCGTCCTCGCCGGGCTTGGAGGCCAGCCAGGCGTCGAAGAGGGTGTCGATGACGGGCTGGGAGAGGAGGGTGGCCTTGAGGTCCGACTTGATGTTGCCGTCGATGGTGGGGCTCAGCAACTGCACACAACACAGAGGGAGGGGTGGATGGGATGGCCGGTGCGTTCGTTCTCCGTATGTCTGACTGTGTGTGGGTGGGGAGTGAGGGCACCTGACCTGGACGAGTGTTGGGATGCGGAGTGCGTGTGGCTGGATGTCGGCGGGGTCGCTGCCGCTGATGAGGCGGCCGGCCTTGGTCGACGTCCACGAACTCAGCGTCTGCAGACATACAGACACGTCATAGTCACGACACAGACACTCTCACTTGTAGCCTGTGTGTCTGCTGCGTACGTCCTCCCAGTGGCTGAACCACGTGGTGAGCAACTCCATGGGGCATATCAGTTCTGCATACACACACACACACACACACCACACACACATATGGGGAGAGGGGCATGAGAAGCGGCCATTATGTGCGTGTGGCGTGTGTGGCTTGAGGGTCCCACCCACCCTTGGTGGCGTATGCGATGAACATGCAGAGGCACTCGCTCACAGGCGCGGAGTTGCGCTTGCTCGTCCAGTGCACGACCTCACCCAACACGTCAAACGAGCGCTGAACGACGCACACAGAGGAGGGACCGTCAAGACCGTGAGTGACCCTCTGCACCGATTCGATGAGCATCCGCAGGTAGTGCAGAGCGAAGGTTCGCATGGGGTAGAAGTACACCGTCACCTCGACCTCCACCTCAGCCAGCGTGGCCTCGCTGCCGACGTACTGTTCCTTCTTCTGGAAACGGGTCGCCTGGAACACTCCCTCGGTGTGCGATCCCACCGACACACACAGGCTGGTGTGTGCACAGACAGGCAGGGCACACCACACGGGGAGGGGTGCTGTTGGTGCTGGTGGTGTGTTTGTGTTGGCCAGCTGTGGCTGCTCAGTCACCTTCCTGCGGGCAGTATGCCGGCCACGAGCTCAGTCCCACCCAGGGTGTACACCGCCCGGCCTGATATCAACAACATAAGGACACACACACACACACACAGAGGGAGAGAGAGAGAGAGAGAGAGAGGTACATGATTCACACGCGTGTGTGGTGTTGTGTGGCGGTGTGTGTGTACCGTTGAAGCATGCCGTCTGCAGGCCATAGTCGGTGGTGGGTGTGAGGAGCAGCTCGAACCGCTCGATGTCCGCCAACTTCATGCTCTCCCCCTGATTCACCTCCACGCCATGCGCCTGTGCAGACAGACACACACGCATTCTTTCTTGGGCCACTCACTACCAACCGAGAGCAGCGACCAACTCACCAGTGAGAAGAAGTGGTTGCCTGGGGTGATTTTCGTCTGCAGTGCACAGACATCACACGCATACACACCAGACGAGAGGGCCGATGAGGGAGAGTGTGGCGTTCTTCTCTCTCTGGTGATGGGGTGGGGTGTGTGGTGGGGTGTCTGTCGGGGGGCTGGGCTGCTATCCTGTCCTGACCTGTCCGCCGCACTGGACTTCCATCTGTCCGATGTGTGTGGATGTGCCGCTCTTGAAGGGGTCCTCGATCAGCTCGGTGGTGCAGAGGTGCATGTCACGCGAGCAGAACAGCTTCTCCATCGCCTCGGTCACCGTGGCCGTATCTGTCGACTGACACCCACACCACACACCACACACCCAGGTCTACAGATGTGCACACACGTGTGTGTGTGTGTGTGTGAGTGTGTTCCCCTCTCTCTCCGCATCTGTGTTGTCACCTTGACGAGGAAGTTCTCGAGCTTTTCCTTGGTGAGTTCGATCTCGCCCTTCTCGGCCATGGTGAGGGTGGTGGCCATGACGTTCTTGATCCACACGCACTCGGCGGCCTGCTCGTAGGCCTTGTTGCGGTACAGCTCGACGCGCCGCATGTAGTGCGCCACCACGTCGGGACGGTCGATGATGCGCTTGGCCACCTGCACACACACACACATCCACACAGACACACACACCGCCCTCCGCCGAGCCACACATCCATCCCCTTCTCTGACACCCACCATGGTCTTCATGCCTGGGAGCATTAGGAAGGTCTGGTAGATGGCGGGTCCGTCCACGAGCTTGTCGAGCATGGCTGCGCAGAGGGTCTCGTCGGCAAACCAGTGGCCCCAGAGGGCCTTGTCCTCCACCTCCTTCAGCACCTCACCCACACACGAGCAGTCGAACGCATCCAGGGCGTGCAGGCACTCGACCAACGTGGACCTGACCGCCATCCATCCATCCATCCATCCATCCATCCATTCCATGAGCACTGATGCCCCATCTGTCTGTCCACTGGATGGATTGGATGCCTAGATCTGCCTCGTGGACGGGACGACGCTCACTTGTTGATGGCGGCGGCGATGTGAGCCGCCGGGCGCAGCACCAGCCTGGCGATTCGCTTTGTGACGCCGATGGCCGACGCATCGAAGTGCAGCGGCTGGTTCTCGGCCTCGGGTTCGACGTTCTTCGGGTCGTCCTCGCCGAACAGGCAGGATAGACTCGCGAATCCGTCGGCCTGCTGGCGGCTCATGGACAGGGCATCTTCGCCGTCAGGCTCGAATCGAATTCTCAGCTGCTGCGTCATGGCGGTCAAGAGCCAAGATCTTTGCCGCGCGAGCTCCAGGGGTGATCTGTAAACAATCAGGAATGCGCAGCGTTGAATGCAGCGAGGAATGCAGCCGGAGGGAGGGCAGCCACATCGCAAGACGGTTTCCAAGAGACGACTGGTGACATGGTGATGGCGAGGCGTCTGTCGTGGAGTCCATAGTGCATCGGCGATAGAGCTATACTCATCGAATCGAGGCATCAAGAGCGGTCGAGCAAGTTCTCTCCCTCGGCATCCATCCATCCTTCAACGGCATGCATCAATTGTGGCTTTTATCCTTTCATCTCATGTGTAACAGTTCAGCCGTCATCTGAAGGAAGGAGAGTTGTTCCATCATGGTGTATGCCCATCCCAGCCATCCCAATACCTCCCCATCCCTCCCCGCAACCTAATGGAGCCATCAGCTGACGACCCAGCAGCCATCAACGCGCCTTCCACAAACATGTGCCATCCGCCGGTCAGCCGAGAGGAGTCCGGCCGTCATTGCAGCAGCAGCAGCAGCCGCCAGGGAAAGGTGAGCGTCAACGGCACCGCCCGCAACGGCCTGATGGGCACAGGTGGCGGCGTCAGCCTCCCGCTGCAGCCCGGCCTGCGGCTGGACGTGGGCGGCCACCCTGCAATCGTGGCCAGTGTGGAGGGCGGGCTGAGGTTGGTGTTTCTGGAGACCTTGGCGTGCACGGCATGTCGTTGCATCCCGCCTGAGGACGATCGGGACTTCGATGTGGCCGATTTGGTGCGATTTGGGAAGCCATACCGCTGCCCGGCGTGTCGCGGCAAGAAGCCACGCGAGCAGCAGGGAAACCACCGTCAGCCAGGGGAGGAGGAGGCCGTCAGCGGGCCCTCCACCCCTCCTCGCATGAGCGGCACATCCACATATCGCCGGTGGCTGTGTAGCCAAGCAGCAGCAGCAGCAGCAGCAGCACCAGCACCAGCAGCAGAGGCCGCGAGCAGTGATCACTGTGCTGGGGAGGGCAGGGGGCCAGGGGGGAGTGGGGGGAGTGGGGGGAGGGGGTACCGTGTGTGCTGCAACGTGCTGTGCCGGCGCAAGTGGAAGCCCGTGACGCTGCGCCATGGCACCATTGCATTCTGCCCTGCGTGCAGCACTGGACTCATCAAGTAAAGCCGACAGACACTGGGAATGCACACATTCACGAAACATGGCGCTCTTGGCTCTTCATTCCACTCAGAAACTGTGGGAGTGTTTGTGAGTCGTCTTCTTCTGAGTCCCCTGATCAGCTTCCAGTTTGTGCGGCTTCGTCATCGAGCCCTGAGGGCGACAGCGATACCACCGCTTTGATGGGGTCTCTGAGTCCACGAGAAGAGGCTATCCTCCGCCTATGGTGAGTGAACAAAAGGACAAAACACAAGAGGGCGTTGTCAGCAGCGAAGGGGCTGCCTGGCGTGTGTGTTTGCAGGAATCGCCTGTATTGCTTTCTGGCACGAAGGCTAGGTGAGGAGCACACTGAGTGTGGCCATGGGGGTGAAGCCATTTCTCTCGATCCGCCTGTGCCGCAGGTCTCCCGCTGCCGCCAAGTCGGCTGCCGCCGGGGACATTAGGGGCTACATCAGATGGCAACCACGGCCAGGCAGAGCAGCAGCAGGGGGATGGCGAAGGCGATGACGAATGCGTCAGCGTGGAGCTGCGGACGCTGCTCGAGAGGTACATCTTTTGGCACCTGGATGGATGGTACAAACAATGACCGGCTTTGTCGTTTGTATGTGCAGTTTGTACCCTCCACCGCCACTCGACAGCGTCAAGAAGCATGTCAGCCTCAAGAATCGCGCAAGCGCCACCAAAGGGTGGGAGACAAAGGCAGGAATATCAATGAATGCCACGGACGGCAGCTCACTCACTCACCACAAACCTGCCTGCCTGCCTGCCTGTCTTTTGCAGTATCGTCACACGCATCCACGAGGGCGTCCTGTGCGAGATCCAGCCCCTCTCGCCACCCACCGCCCCCCCTTCTCGCCCCTACCTCTACCTCGACTGGCACCGCACCCTCTCCGTCAACTCGAATGTGGACGTGCTGCTGTGCCCCAATCCGTCCACGACAGAGCAGGCCGCCCTCCCCATGCTCGTGCGCTCGGCGTCGCTGCACAGTGAGAGGGAGACAGAGGCACCTGGCCCAGCGCCGCGTCAGGGTGCGAGGATACGGCCGAGGAGGTGGGAAGGGCAGCAGAAGGGGAGAAGGCCATCGCCTCCCCCGATGCGGCAGCCAGTGCCGCCCCCACCACCACCACCACCGCCCCCTCTCTGTGGGCCGCCACCAACACGACTGCGGTCGGTGCAGCTGCAGCAGGGCTGGGTGCACCAGGACAATGGCGCGTTCTTCGCCCCTTCTGCGGCGTGGGAAGACGGGCCATCCATGTGTGGAGATTGGAGCATGGCTTCTCAGCCGATGCGATGCGTCCCAGCCACAGTCCCCCCACCGGTCAGCCGTCCATCGCACTGTGATTCGGCCTCGGCCATCGCCCATGCGGGGGCCCTGGGTGCGGCTCTCGGCACATCGCTGCGGATGGGAGGCTTCCTCGACCCCCACTATGCCGAGAGTGATGCCCTACCCCCGCCCCCTCCCCCTTTGCTGCCTCCCCCCATGCCGCCGCATCATCACTCGCCCCCGGTATATCGGCCAGCCCCTCCCGTCTCCCTCCCCCCCCACACACACCCAACCAGCGGCTGCACGGCCGACCCGCGAGGCCTCACAGAGAGAAGGGGCGCCGGTGGGGCCAAGGGAGAGCATCGTGCGGTGTATGTGGCGACGAGCAGCACCACACGGCCGCCCGTCGAGCAGGAGGAGGCGGCAAGCGTGTGTCTCAGCGATACTGACGGCCACCAGCACCAGCAGCAGCAGGTCCCACCCCAGGCGAGTCGGCCGCTGTCGTCGATTCGGTCGCGCCGCATCCTTAACGCCCCACACAGGAAGCCGCCCGGAAGAGAAGATGGTTCGGCCGATGGTCGGAGGAGGAAGGCCTCGCCATGCAGCCAGCATGAAGGAGCGACACAAAGGGAGAGGGGGCAGCGGGGAGGGGCCAAGAGGAACAGACCACCGAGGGATGGTAAGAGTCGTACGGACGATGAGAGAGACCAGCGGCAGAGTGGGGGCGGCCAGTCCCGGCACTCGGCTTAGCGGGGTGGTTAGGAGGAGGGGCATACCTTGGTTGTTGAGACACTTTCGCCGCGCCGGTCTGTCAGCAGACAAGGCGCTCTTCTATCGACTTAGCCGCAGCCTGCGGGTCAGCCAGCCGACGACATGGATGGATGGATGTGTGTGTGTGTGTGTGTCCTTGTGGTATAGTCTGCATGAGTGTGATGTCTATGTCCGTGATGCTGACCACTGACTGACTCGCTTCGTTGGGTTCTCGTGTCAAATTTGTCACCATTAGTTGCTGAGGACCACTCCGGCCACCCCCATTCGCTCATCGTCACATCTAGTATTCAACGCAACAATTGCAGAGAGGGCGTTTGCGGGGTCACACTTGTTAGAGCCTCCCTCGAGCAGGACGTCACTGGCACACACGTACGGTGTCTACCGCGCGGTACCTTTAACGCACCATCAGAAGCACTAACAACTGCGACTCCGCCCGCCCTTAGCCGTGATCCAGTCAGTCAGTCAGTCCATCGTCATCTGTGCGTCCTGCCACTGCTCGTGACTATGGTGGTCATCATGATACCCCTCCTTGCCTTTTTTGTCCATCGCCGCCCCCGCCCCCGCCCCCTCCTCCAGCTCGTCGTCGAAGAGGCCCTCTGCATCGCCACCCTCACCCCCACCATCACCCTCACCTTCGTTGTCGGCCTGCATGTGTGTGTGTCCCTCCTCATCACCACCCGCCATCTCGCCATTCTCCTGATCTTCCACTTCAGCAGCCTCCCCCTCTCCCTCTCCCTCTCCCTCTTCGTCGAGGTCCACATCCTCGCCCTCCTCCTGATCCTCCTCCTCAGCCCTCTGCTGCGCGGCCATCATCTCAGCCTGCTGCCGCTCCCTGGCCTCCTGCTCGGCACGGGAGTCGATAAACGTCGCGCTCACACCTGAATGGAATGCGGGCAGGACAGACAGCCAGACAGGCAGGTACGTGAAGCGAGAACACGACACGGTGTGTGGTGGGCGTGTGTGTGTGGTGTGGCGCACTTACCGTCCTGCCCATACAGTCTGACCAGGGAGACCGCATGTGTGTATGGGCCGTGCGGCGCGCTCACGTCGTCAGACACGGCGATGAACATGCCTGCAGGTAAGGTAAGATAGATACCCGACAGAGGTGGGTGGGTGGGCAGGTAGTGAGCCCACAGTGCAGCGTGTGGTGTCGGTAGGTACCTGTTGGATGCCAGGCTGCGTTGTTGCCCCTCCCGAGCACCTCTCCCTCATATCGACTCGACCGGTTGTCCAGCCGACGCCACACACGCACCTGCACACTCACTCACACGAAGTGTCTGCCTGCCTCTACGAGCTCACTCACTGCCCCCTCTCTCCGCGGTTCCCAGCCCACCAGGCCATCAGTGCTCGCCGTCACGAATGCCAGGCCCGGCAGCGTCGGGTGGATTTGCAGCTGCGTCACCCAGCCGTGAGACACATTGGTCAGAGACACCTACACATACATACACAGACACATACACAGACACATACACGCATCCGTCGGGGTGTGGGTGTCTGTCTGGTCCGGGAAGTTAGTTGCCTACCTGCCTGATGTCGTACGCAGCGGCGACGGCCACCCCCGGTGCGGGCCTCCTCGTGTCGAGACGGAAGACAGCGTACTCGCTGTCGCTCGCCGCCAGCATGTGCCGGGCCCCCCCAGCCGCCGGATGGGCCTTAAACAGCGATACGGAACGAATCGGATGATGGAAGGCTGCACAGATGCCACACATGTGGGCGGGCAGATAGCGCCATTCATGGGTTGTGGGTTGGTTGCAGGAGCCATTCTTACTTACGTTTCTGTGGGTCGCATAGAGGGGTGTACTGGTATGGCGTGCCGTCACGGTGCGTCATGAGGCGCAGAAGGCCGATCTGTTCGACGGGACGCAGGCAGACACAAGTGGCCGGCCTTCTTTCTTTGGCCTCTTTCGTCGTTTCATGATCAACTCACTCACCAGGCCCTCTTCGCTGCCATAAGCGACCACTGGACCGAACACACGAGAAGAATGCACATACATCAGTGAGTGGGCTGGCTGGGCTCTCTGTGCGGTTGGTTGGCAGTGTCTTCTGTCTGCTCACTTGACTCGAACCTCTGACAGGGCAGGACACACAGACATACACACGAGAGCTCATGGGGATGTTTGTGCGTATTGCTTGGGTCCATTTCCTCACCCTGGTGTTGGCGACCACTTCCTGCTGCCTCTTGCGCTTTTCGAAGCTTGTGGACAAACACGTGATCATGCCCGTCCGCAGAGGGACTGACGAAATGCATCAGGCACAGCCAACACAACACACACAAGCGCGTCGCCACTGTTGGTTGATGCTGGTGGCGGGGCGGCCTGGCCTGTGTCTGTCGTCCATTCACTCACTCACCGGAGACCTTCAGCCTTTGGTCGCCCTTCTCGATGGGATACACCGTCAGCTCCCCCAGGTAGCCGCCGAGGATCTGACGCAATGACGTCACGTACACACACGGACGGACAAGTGTATGCGCATCAGGCAGGGAGTACACCCACGTCTATCTATTTCCCGCCCTCCCTCCCTTATCACCACCGATCGGTCGTCATCGGCCATGCACATGCAGAACCCCTCAGTCGCCCTCTCAGCCAGCGGCGGAGGCCTGTCCCACTCGTTCTCGCCATTGCCACCACCACCATCGTCCATCTGCTGCTCCTCATCCGGCGCCGGCAGCGCGGTGGTGCGCATGAGGCCCGACTGGTCGAGGGACACCAGGTACATCTGGTCGGACGTGGCGGCCAGTTGTGTGATGGGGTAGGCGTGAGGGGGGAGCAGCTGCTTGAACGGGCGGATGGGGGAGGACCCCAGTGAGCCAGCAGGGAGGGCGCCATCAGATGAGACAGTCGTGGTCAGCCTGCAGACAGGAGAGAGAGATGAGTGTTGTGCTTGCAGGTGAGAGTGCGTCCATTCCCCTTCACACCACACACCAGAGGCAGATGACTCCCGCCATGTCGCCCGTCACCACATAGTGGTCTGTACCTGCACACACACGTGCAGCGCAGCAAGCACAAGATCTTTGACCGCTACGCTCACATGCACATGTCGGTGTCCTGTGTGCGTGCGCTCGTACAAGTGATGGCTGACACGGCACCCTTAAACCTCACGTGCGTCGAGGAGATCTCATCGTCACACTGATAGCGCGGCAGCAGCAAGCTGTTGGGTGACTCGGAAGTTTGCTGGGGAGGGGGATGGGAAGGCAGCGATACAAAGGGCTGCTGAGCTGTCGGCGGCTCCTGCGATAAAGGCGGAGGGGCAGCAAGCGCGGCACTCATGGAGGGAAGATCAGAGAGATCAGATCAGATCAAGGTGAGATTCACTGGGCCGGGCGGACATTGTAGGGCATTCATCACGCTCAAGAGATCTGAGCTTGCACCCCGACCGTTTGCCCAACGTTCAATTTCTCCCTTCCCTCCGATGACGACGGAGAAGCAAGTCGCGGTGGAGATTGGGGAACTGCCGCCGTCATCGCCACCGGCCAACGACGTCGTCACAGCCGCAGAATCACAGCCCCAAGAGGAGAGCAAGAGCAGCAAAAGCAGAGGCCAGCAGCAGCAGTACACCATCGAGGCTGTGGGGCAGTGCGCAGAGATCAGCTGCGATGACGTGGGAGACGAAGAGGTGCACCAGACCGGCAGGCGTCAGAGGGCAATGTTGGCAGAGGAGAAGGCACTCATCGCGCAGGTGGCGGAGTTTCGGGAGGCCGCCGGCTACCCCCACGCGTCATATCAGGAGTTCGAGACCACGATATGCTATGAGCGGAGGGGGGACGTGGAGGTGCTGGTGGCCCGGTTCACCCCCGAGCCCTTCTCCCGCACGATGAGGAGGCTGCCCGTGTTATCTTGCGGCAGCTGGGCTTCGCAGCCGTGATTGGTGCTGTCGGGGCGGCCGTGTATGTGGGCTACTGGCGGGCCTGTGAGGACCGAGCTGTGACGGTGCCGTGGGCCATCCTGGACGTCATTCGGCGGCTTTTGATCACCTTTGGCAACATCGGGTGTCTCACCATGATGGTGGAGAGCGATCTGCGCGCGTCGTGGCGACGGTTCCGGAAGACCTGGGTGTACTTCCTGCCCATTTTCTATACCTCTCTCGGATGCAGCATCGCCCACCACGCAGGATGGTCGGCTCTGGTGCAGCACGCCGTGTTTCTGTACCCGTCGGTGCCCTTCTACCTGTTCATCACCCCTTACCTGTTCTTCCGCAGCTGTGGCAGGGACATGAAGACCGTGAGACGGAAACGGGTGTACGCCCTCCAAATGACCTTCATCTGGGCGATCTGCTGCAGTGTAGGACTGGTGTGGAGTGTCAACTTCCTGCCTCTGGCGATAGTTGCGACAACCGACGGGGAGAGGACCCGCGTGGCGATGATGACCCTCATGGCGGGTTGGCCCCTTGTGGCACTCGTGACGGCCACCGCACGATCAGTGAAAGTCAGTAGTGAGCGAGCAAGAAGCCAGCCAGCAAACGCATGGTGTCTCTCTCTGTTTACAAATTGCAGGATGGGCCGCTTTTGCATTTTGTCCCCGGCCTCTCCTTTGTATCTCTCGCCTACCTGGTCTCGCATGCATGCCATGCTGCCCGTCTCGTTCGCTGCCTCGTTCATCGTCTGTGCGTATTTGGTTCACGTAGTTGCTGCCCCGGATGCTGCAAGCCAAAATGGACACACTGCAAGTGCAGATGCTCAACTCCCTCATCTTTGGCCTCTTCGACTTCTTCACAGGTGAAGAGAAAACTGAATGGGAATGTACGAGACCATGATTAGTACTGTAATCTGCCGATGTGTGTCTCTCAGACATGGCAATCCCTTTCAGTTAGCGGCCAAGAGCGCACCGACACAAAGAGCGACACATTGCGGCGGCCCTTGTGTCTGTCAGGTGCCATTCTGGGCATGGCTGCGCGCAGACGACTGATGCAGACGATTGGACCCTACTGGCACACTGACAACACAGGCAAGCGCCCACCAGACCAATGCAACGAGTTCGACAGCATCGACGCCCCCAAGCGGCAGTCGCGTGGGGTTACAACGCCAAAAGGCAATGATGCGACAGCAGACAAGCGAGAGAGGCGCCTGGCCCGGCCGACGAGCAGCCTGTCGACCATGATCAGCTTCACGTCTGTGGACCGCTTTCGCACCGCCTTCAGCCGGTCGTCCCTGCGGTCTCTGAGCACCTTCCTGGACGTCCAGACGACTTTTGTGGCCCACCACGCGTCGCCACGCATACTCAGATGCATCAGCGACGTAACAAAGAAGAAGGCGCGTACACCGGCGTTGTCTATGTCGTGTCTCTATGTGTCTATCTCCTTCTCTCAGCAGGTGCACGTCTACACTTTGGCCGAGTTCACGACATTGGTCTTCACAAACCTCTCACATTTGGCCTTCGACCACGTGTTGCACCCATCGGCCCAGCGGTTAGCCGAGAGGCTCGGTGGCATGCTCGTCCTCATCGCAATCGAGGCCACTCTCGAGTGCGGCCTCTTTCTGGTGCAGAAAACAGATGGCTCACAGACAAAGGCCTCTGTCTCCCTGTCTTCAGTTTCTAGTTCGCGTGACGAACCTGCCCTTACTGTCGAGCGAGAAGGAGCCCACTGCGGTGAGGAGGCGGCTGTGGGGATTTGTGTGCGCCTTGGTTATGAACTGGCTATCGCCCATCAGCTACTTCGCGCTGTTGATGCTGGTGGCCATCGACCGAGACAAATATGGCAGGATGGGGCCACATGACTTCTGCCCTCACTTCACCTTGATATTCCGACGCGACTAGGGGGAGGAAGAGGCCATATGTAAGAGTGTCGAAAACACTGGGGGGCATTTCTCGATCGAAGGGAATCCCCATTACCCGGTCGTTGCCAGATGTCTTTGTGAGAGGAGGCCGATGGATGCTAGACACATATGAATGACGAAGTCATCTAGCATGGCTGGCGATGAGAGGGAAGCCAGACAGGACTAGCTACGGACTCGATGGATAGATGAACGAATCGATGAGACATGCAACTCGGTAGTGTCGTGTCTGCGTATAGCTTATCGAGGCATCAGTCACAGGCTCCACCCGCTGCAGGCAATGAAGCAACAAGACAGAAAGCATTCATCACCTTCTTCTATTCGCTTTGCAAGCGAATGAATCGTCAAATACATACGTACGCACATAAGCTCTCTCACATGAACACACAATCCCCCTCAGCCTCACTGCCCGATACCGCACGGCGATACCTTTGGGCTAAGTATGCGTGAGCTTTCTGCACCTCGTTTATCCCCCGGGCACTCATCGGGGCTGCCACCACGTCAATCACGATTCTCCCCGCCGCATCAACGCCATGCTTCACGGCTGCCGGAGCTGGCAGCACCGACACCCGCTCGGGCCTTGGTGTGAGAGCCCTCCATGTTGTTAGCGCCGACGTGTTGACATTGGATGAGTGGTTCTGCGTCAGGTGTGTGCGGGCCAGGGAGGGGCAGACGGGAGGCAGGGACGGGAAGGGAGGCGCTTCGGAACTGGTTGACAGACAAGGGAGACACAGACGTCCATCGGACAATGCCAGTGTGTCTCTCCGCGTCGGTGCTTGACTGACCCTTTTCTCTCTCGCGTCGTGTGCTCCCCGATGGCGGACATGGGGAGAGGTGGCACAGGAGGCGGAGAAGGCCTTCTAGTGTCTCTCCTCCGAGCATCCTCTTCTGCAGCCTGCCTTGACGAGACTTCCTCGACGAGCGCCTTTAACCCTCTGACATCGGCTTTCAGCTCGTCGTGGACCTTCTTGCCCCCCTTGAACTGATTTGCATGCCTCTCCTGCACAGACTGGACGCCACCCAGCGCCTCTTTCACGCCAGCAATCTCCGCCCGCACCTCCTTGGCCTTCTTGATCATGGCTTCCTTCAGGCTCTCAGTGGCGTGTTTGTTCTCCGCCATGTGGCAATCGTGGCGAAAAAGATGCTCTTTGAACGACTTGATGAGGGCGTCCATGGTGAAGTCCACCTTGAGCTCCAGCCGAGAGAGCCGTTCATCGATTCTCTCCTGCCACCCATCGTGTTGGCTGGATTCAACCTTCGGCGGCTGGGGCTTCACCACGGGTGGCATGGTATAGCTGGACCCGTCGCGCCTAGCCGGACAATAGGGAGATAGGGATCAGCCACCGCGTCAGCGAGCAAAATCGAGGTCACGAGTGGCGGCACTTGGAATCATTGCAAAGCGCTGCAAGCAAGAGCCCTTACGAGCCAGCACTCTCACCACCTTGGAGAGATGCTCGATTTGCGCTTTCCTTTCTGACACACGTCCTCCGAGTCCGTCACGGTGTCGCATGCAGACTGGCCCCCATCGTGGCCCCCATCATCGCAGCGCCGCCACCTTCTGACACACAAGCGACGAAGGCAAGAGGCACACAAAGGCCCACTGACATGTCTTGACAACGCTTCGTATCTTGTGTGGTCACTGGTCAGATGATGGACAACCGGTTCACTCGCCCTTCTACCCATGGCAGCGGCCGTCCGCCCTCGCCCGACGCCTTCAACGACTTCTTTCACTCCGTGACCACTTGCCAATATGAAGCTGTGCAGCGGTGCTTCGAGAGAGAGGATCCCGCACCCTACATGCAAGCCACTGATCAAGTCAGTCTGACAACATGCAAAGGGGGATGGGAAGCGACAATCACGTTTGCCGAGGAAGATATGTATTGTTTTGTTTGTGTGCGGTTGTATATATGTGTCTGTCAGACGCTCAAGACGTGTCTGCACTTGGCTGCCAAGGCGGGCTCGGCTGATCTGGCACATCTGTTCATCACCCTCGGGGCAGCCATCGAAGCCAGGGAGCGAATCGGGAGGACACCACTGCACCTGGTACGCTTGGACAGACAGACAGACAGACAGACGGACGGACGGACGGACGGACAGACAGACAGACGGACGGACGGACAGACAGACAGACACCCAGCCGCCATTGTGTCCTGTCCGTCAGGCATGTGAGTATGGGCACGAGAAAGCTGTGGAGTGTCTGTTGCACGCTGGGGCGAACCTGGAGGCCCGCGATGGGGTGGGTACAGTACACGTGGACAAGAAAGAACCACATTTGTCTTGTACACGGCTCTGTGTCGTTGCAGCTTGGTCGCACGCCGTTCCATCTGGGATGTTGCTCGGAGAATCGCAACGTCGTTTCCATTCTTCTGCACTCGAAGCCATCGCTCATCCACGCCACCGACAAGGTGACAAAAGAGACGACGGGGACAAGGACAGCAGGACAGCAGTGCAGCTGCCTTTGCTGTGTGTGCAGCATGAGCGCACCGGTCTGTACTATGCTGTGTTGAGCCGTCACTGGAGCGGGCAGGACATCACCAAGCTGCTGCTCGCAAAGGGGGCTGACGTCAACGCTCGCGACCTTTACGGACGCACCCCTCTCCATTACGCATGCGAGGTATAGATAGAAGGGGACCGATAAATCATTGATGCCATCGTCACGCCCTTGCACTGATATGGCTGGCTGCAGGAGGGTCAGTCGAAGGTGGTCCCATTGCTGCTGAGGAATGGAGCTGACCCGCACATACAGGATACTGTCGGCCGCAAGAGCCCTCTGCAGATGGCCGCCACGCCACTCATCAGAGACCAGATCAAAAGTGAGCATCCATCCATCCATCCATCCACAGGCGCTTGTGGAGGAGGCATGGTGGACCTTATGCTCGTCTCTATGACATATGCAGGTCATCTCGGGCAGAAGGGCGAGCTCCCGATAGCGGAGTCCAGGGCCACTGAAGGCGCCGTTGACCAAGCCACCTCCCCCATGCAGCGGCTGACGATGCCCCAACAGCCATTCAATCCGCCGGCGGAAGACAAAAGGGAGAGGGAGCAGCAGCTGGCCGTCGAGCCATCGCGACCAGGACCGAAAGAAGGTCGAACACTGTCTTCCGCAATTAGAAGGATAGCTAGATGTTGTGTCGTGGGTTGGTTCAGGCCTGTTGTCTGCGTTGTCTGTGTCGACGGGCCCTCTGCGCGAGCGCTTCATGCGTCTGATGCTTCGCGTGCAGCAGGGCGGCCTTGACGACCTGCAGCACATCAAGCAGCCGCACCTGTTCACCGCCAGCTGGATGGAGGCCATCCACACCCACCAACAGCTCTTCTCATCCATATCAAAGGTGGTGTGGTGTCTAGTGTGTGTCGCACGAGATACAAGCTGAAGGAGACACAAGGATGCTTGTGCGTGTCTGCAGGTGTCGTCTGTTGAGACGGCGCTTCGCGTGTTCAACCTTCTGCACCCCCCAACGCACATTCCGCCATCAAAGGTGACACAAATGCACCTATACAGAGCGGGAGCCCTCCATCCCTCTCTCCCTCTCCCCCCCTCTCTCTCCCCCGCCCTCTCTCTGCGTGTGTTTAGGGCGACGAGCACGAGATCGCAGCGTACTATACGCAGTTCGGCCCCCTGCCAACGGTCCCTCTCGCACTCAAAGACACAACGATCGACCAGAAAGGAGGTCCATATACACACAAGACGATGCACTCGAGTCTGTTTCATCTAGCTGTCTTCCCTACCTGCCGACAGATGAGCGTTCCCGATTTGTGCCGGTGACTGCACGTGAGCGTGTGATGGTTGAGGAGATCGACCGGCTGCTCAAGGACAGCGACGCACACAAGAAGACCATCCACGACCTGCACCACACGATCCAAGACATGAAGTAACCAAATTACCGATGAGTGAATCGATTGCTCTGCGTGCGTCATTAATTCATTAGGTCGAAAGTTGAGGGATCGTTCGATGCGCGTGAGGTGGCTGCTGTGAGGGACGACACAGAGAGGATGCGACAGGAGCTCACCAAGAAAGAACTAGCCCTCAAAGTAAGTACCCCTCCCTGCGATCTCCCTTCCACCCGTCCATCTCTCGTGTCTCTCTCTTCATCAATCAGGACATGGAGCAGCAGCTGAGGGCGGCCGATCGCAGTCTGAGGTTCACGCAGGAGGAGCTGCAGAGACATATGATGGAGGGAGGAGACCTCAGGACCAAGGTAAGTCACAACACGTGCACACAGTAAGCAGGAGACACGCAGCACTATCCATCTGTGTATGATGGCGATGCATGGCATGCAGATGGCCATGATGGCGAAGCAAGCAGAGGGGTACGCCAATCAGGAGGCACACCTCAAGGTAATAAGCTAAGAACAGACCACAGACAGGTTCCCATAGATGGGATGGGCTTGTGTGCTGCCGGGTCAGTTTTTGCGTCAGCAGCTGGAGAGTGTGCAGGAGGTGCTGAAGCAGGTCCAGCAGGAGAAGGGCGCCGCAGAAGGAGCTGCAAGTGAGATAGCTTCACCGGCAGCCACGACTCATGTCCCCATCCCTCTGTCTGTCTGTGCAGTCGCCGCCCGTCGCGACCTGGCCACCGCCCTGCAGGACCTGGAATACTTCAAGAAACACGCTGGACAGATGTACGCGTCATCCAATATTGTCAGATTCATCAGATGCGGGCGTGTGTTGTTGGCAGGGGTGGTCCGAGTGACGACAAGTACCGGTCGCTCGAGCAGCAGCTGGCGGCGTTGCGCAAGGACAACGAGGGGCTGCAGAAGCAGCTGGCCATGATGCGACAGGCGCTGCAGGAGGAACAGACAAGAGTCGCAGACCTGCAAAACACGGTAGCTATGATGCAGCAAAAGTGCTTACACTTCATATGTTCGTCTTGTTGAACGTCCTGTTGTTTTCAAATGTTCAGCTGCGCATGCGGGAAACAGCTCCGCGCCACCCTGAAATGAAAGAGGCAAGCGACTGACTTATGTCTAATGCCATCTTCATTCTCCATTTCTCCTCCGTCTTTGTGTCCTTCAGCCGCCTCCCCATGTGCCTCCCCCCGCACATGTCCCTGCCGGCCCGCCCCTGTCTCCGCCAGTACCAGTCCCAACAGCCCGGCCCACGCAGCCACAGGAGCTGGAGAGGGGCTACCCTTCACCAACCGAGACCATTCCCGTGTCGCCACCACAGGCCATCCCGCCGCCCCCTGTGACGATGCCCGACCTCATTGGCACCCTCAGTATGACCTGCTGGTCGGCTGTTGGTGTGCGTGCTGCTGACGCTGCACCCAGGGGAGGGGAGGCAACATCTGACCCCTACTGCAAAGTAAGTGACACGGAAATCCCGATCAGGCGCCGAAACATGTCTTCACCTCTTTCCGTCAGGTGCTGGTTCCCTCTCCCAAAGGCGGCTTCCACACCTGGAACACCGAGACTATCGTCAAGACCCTCCACCCCATCTGGAAGGAGACCAAAGACTTCCAGGTGCCCCTCCCCTCACCACACAACACCACCGACGCCCCGAGCGAGGTGCTCATCGAGGTCTGGGACAGCGACTGGGGCAAAGACAACTTCCTGGGCGAAGTGAGGATTCCATTCCCCCAGTCGTTCCTCCGGAACTGCTATGAGACGCTGCAGCGAAGAGGGGGTGTGCGGCCACTGCTGGAAAAACAGCTGAGGCGCGTGCAGTCCAACCCACAGAAAGCAAAGGAAGCTGCCGAGGTGGAAGAGCCGGGAGAATCGGAGAAAGATAGTGTGATTGCTTCTTCGTTGTATGCCGCTTCGTTGTAGGGGTGTCTGTGTGTGGAGCTGCTGTGGTCCCCGCCGGAGAACCTCGCTGAAAGCGCCATAGTGCCAAGGACAGCCTATGACGCTCACGGCGGGGCAACAATCCTCCCAGCCAGACCAGAGGGTAGCTACTGCTGAAAAGCTTTCTCATTTGGTACTGCGGTATGTGTGTTCAGTGTCGGTCGTGGTGGACCCTGGCCTGGAGCAGGCTTTCGTCGGCAAGCTCACTGTCAAGGTGGGAGCGAGGAGCTCCGGAGGATTGTGCTGTGTGTCCGTGAGGAAGGGACCATGCATTTGTGTGCCATTGTCCTTTCTCACGCAGTGTCTCTCTGCCTTTGGCCTCCGTGCTGCCGACTCGACTATGATGGGCCTGTCCAAAGGCCTCTCCGACCCCTACTGCAAAGTACCCAACCTGACACAGGGACAGGGAGAGAGGGGAGGGAACATGGTATGGCATCCATTGCATGTGGTGTGTGCAGGTGTGCGTGAGTGAGTGCGAGAAGTCCAAGCCCACCACATGGCGCACCAAGACAATCAACGAGACGCTCGATCCAGTGTGGAACGAGGCGAACGACTTCTTCATCTCATTCAACCAAAGGGTCGGCACGCCGGCTGCAGCACAGCATCACGGGAACAATTGAGGGCATTCTGATGGTTTCATTATGCCTTCCTTTGTGCAGCCCGTTGGTGAGGCCGGCAGCTACGTCGTGGAGGTGTGGGATGCCGACGCAGTCATGGGAGTCAACTTCGAGAAGGACGACTTCCTCGGCGAGATCACGCTGCCCATTCCCAAAAACGCCACTGTGAGAACAAAAGGAACCGCGATGTACGTGCATTCATTGTCTCCATTGGTGGGTGGGTGTGGCTGCGTATGCGTACGTAGGAACCCACGATCTCCCACGTGCACCAGGCGCTGATGGGCAACCCTGCAAAGGAAGACAAGAACGTACGAGAGCATCGCACAGAATGCGAAGCGGCATGCAGGCAGGTCATTGAGTTTGTGCCGGACAGGCCTTGGGTAAGGTGACGGGGCAGCTGAGCCTTGAGGTGCAGTGGGCGCCCTTCCTCGCCGCACCTGACGCAAAACCAACAGGTGCGGGTGTGCGTGCGTGCACCAGCACACACTTCATGTACTTGCCCCTGTCGCATTTCTCCCAACCCTCTCTGTCTGCCTCTCTCTCTCCTTGTGCAGTGCTTCACGAAATGGGCACCGCGGCCCCTTTCTCGGGCAAACTGATCGTGGTGGTACGTTACGCAATCGAATGAGATCGGCCTCCTGTCTGCTCGTCGTGTCTCCTGACTCTCCTCCCTCCTTAGTGTGTGGCGGCGACCGCTTTGGTCCCTCCCGGCGCCACCAAGAACTCACCCAAGCAGAAACAAAACCCTGGTACACACACACACAGCTGCTGTCTCTCTGTCTTGGCCATCGATATGTGTTGTGCACATGTGTGTGCAGTGAATGCGTACTGCAAGATGTTCACGCAGTGCACGTCGACTGAGAAGCCCGACGTGTGGCAAAGCAAGGTGGTCAAGCACAACAACTCGCCCGTGTGGCAGCAGGACAAGGAATGGGACGTCAACCTGCCCAGGGTGCGTGAGCATTCGTGGGTGGCCCCCTGTCAACCCTGGGCTGCTGTGTGCGTGTCAGGAGTTGGGTCCATCTGAGTCTCTCGTGCTAGTGGAGGTGTGGGCCAGCAGACTCGGCTCGGACGCCTTCCTGGGGCAAGTGGCATTCCCTGCGCCCACAAAGGTCCAAACAAGTGCAATCACAGATGCACCTATCATCATCATCGTCTGTCTGTGTCTGTGCAGCGCGGCACCACTAGGTACCAGCTGCCGCTGACGGGCGACCCTGAGAAGGGCAGGAGCAGCGGTGGCGGCAGCCTGGCCATCGATATCACCTGGAGGCCCCACATCGACATGGACAAGGAGGAACCTGGTACACACACACACACACACACACACACGGAACGAAGAGTCTGTGTGGCGTGATTGATCAGAAATAGTTGAGTGTGAGGTGCTGGCTGAGGACGGGGAGAGCCTCCCATACGTCGGCAACCTCCGCATCAAAGTACACACCACACATACGCAGACACAGACACAGACACAGACGCCACTCTCATGGCCTGCATGTCTGCCTCAGTGCATATCGGCGTCGGGCCTCCGTGCAGCCGACACTACCATGTTCGGCCGCCCCACAACATCCGACCCATACGCCAAAGTAGGTCACTAGAGCCAATACCAGGTGTTAGTCCACTGCTGGGTGGCTGTCACTTGTGCAGGTGTGTCTCGCGACAGGCGGCCCCGGCAGCCGAAAGCACTCATGGCAGACCAAGGTTGTCAAGAAGAACCTCAGCCCCGTCTGGGATGAACAACACGGCTTCTACATCAACTCACAAACGGTCAACCAAACCTGCCACGCGCCTTCTTTTCTGTCTTCGTAAAGCCCTCGTCTTTGTCTGTGCAGTCCCCCAATGAGTGGACCGGCGAGAGCAAGCCGACCATCCTGATAGAGGTTTTCGACTCAGACCTCGGCCCTGACGATTTCCTTGGCGAGGTCCACCTGCCCTTCCCCATCAAGGGTGGCAGGAAGACCTTCCAGCAGCCCCTCCAGTCCAACAAAAAGAAGAGCAGCGCGGAGGCACAGGGCCTCATCAGCCTCGAGATAGAGTGGGAGCCACGGTACGAGCTGGAGGAGGTCACTCAGCAGGTCATGCAGGTGCCTGACAAGGGGCTCACGACGGACCTCTCGATGGCGGCTGGGCCCCCACCACCCCCGCAGACGTTCGAAGGCGACTTCAAGATTGAGGTTGACAAAGAAGGACTCTTCCCGACGCGCCCATCTGTTGTGTCTCTATTATTGTTCCGTTCAGTGTCTGTCAGCACAGGGTCTGCGTGCTGCGGACCGTTCCATGTGGGGCTTCGGCAAGCTGACCATATCTGACCCCTTCTGCCGATTCTTGGTCCCCGCACAGCCAAAGACGCACTCCAAACCTCAGGTAGGAATCAAGATGGCCTGTCCGTGAGTGAGATATCCTCTACGCCCGTGTCTGTGCGCGCGCAGGTGTGGGAGACATCGGTCAAGTGCAAGACGCTTGACCCCGTGTGGAAGGAGAGCAAGAGCTTCAAAATCAACTGGCCGCAGCGTGAGGGTCCCAGCGAGCCCGTGTTGGTCGAGGTGTGGGATTCAGACACACTCGGCAAGGACTTCCTGGGAGAGGCCACGTACGCCACGTCAATCGACAGGGAGAGACAGACACGTAGTTGTGTCTCATGTCGTATGCAGGTTCCCTCTTCCGCAAGACATCAGTCGTCCCTCAGTGCAGGAGGTGACTCTCTCTCTCCAGTCCAACACACAGAAGTGCCGCGACCCAGCACAAGGACAGCTCTTCCTCGTCACCACATGGACACCGCTGCACATGCCGCAGCAACAGGCCCCCTCCGCCGGAGACATGACCATGACCGTGACGCACCGCCCACCCTCACCCACTCGACCAGCGCCCTTCCACCCAGAACCACTGGATGAACCACCCTACCCTGATAGCGGCGCCTATCAGCAGCCCCCCCAACAACCCCCACAATTGCAGCC